GCTGCCATAGCGCTGCTGGGCTGCCTGGGCGGCAGTGGGCCCTGGAGGCAGTGAGTGATCCTGTGGGTAGGCGGGGCGAGGGATGGGGGGGTTGAGCGGGGTGGGGCCAGTTTTTGGGCACTCGGTCTCTAAAAGTTTCGGCATCACTGGCTTAGAATCTCAAAGACTTGTTGCCATGCCTAATGAAATTCTAATGATCCACAAAGGTGTCTTCCTCTTTAAATATGATACAGGAAGTTATAAAATGGGGGGGGAGACATTTCTCTAGCAAAAGACTTAAGGTAGAACTAAAGTATTTGTAAGAGTTGGGAGGGAAGAATCTATCAGTGATTATCTCCTGCCTACAAAATGATAATGGGTATCCTACTTCTGACTTCAAATATACACGCACACAGACACAGTTGCTATGATAACTGGTAGTTTACTGTTTACAAGAAGACACAAACAAGAAGTGCGAATCAAAACAGAATCTCTAAAAATAGTTGGCATGAATGGTTGCTTTTGGTAAAAGCATACAGAAGAATAGTCCAAGTCCAGTTCATGATTCTGAAAGTCAAATCAGGGTTGTCAGCCAATCCAGAGGTTACAATTTCACAAGCAGAGTCCAAACAGACATCATGCAAGACTCAGGGACCAGAGTTGCTCCCGAGGGATCAGAGGTCAGATTTTCCCCTTAAATCAGGATATAGTCAGCTGTTTCTAATCAAGAGATTTATTTGCTTGCTTGGCAAGGAGCCTCAGACCCTCCCTACTCTCCTCTCCTTTCTAGCTGCTGGGGGGGAGGGGCAGCTGGGAAATCTTACATGATCATCACCTGACTTTTCCAAATGCTCAGGTGGTGCCTATGTTCTTTATATCTCCTGAGGCTGAACATTCCACAGGTCATGCGGGAGCAACTTCTTCACAGTCAGTCATTGTCTGATTCCTAGATTGTGACAATGGATAACTATCCTATCTCTTTGTGGAATCAAACTAGCATATACAGGTAATCCCTGAGTTATGAGCATTCTTAGCGCCCATTCAAAGTTACGCGATAAGTACCACCCAGTGTTTACGAGCAAGACCCGAAATTACAAATGTTGCAGCACCACAGAAGTTCTTCACCCTTATGAATGACTGTAGAGGTTCTGCAACATTCACCTATTCCGCCTCCCTTCCTGCCGCGCAAAGATCTGTCTCCTCTCTGCCACAGTTTCTTTGTCTTTGAGGGAGAGGAGAGTCGATGGAAGCTCTTGGGAGCCATAATACTGCGTGAGTTCAGGCACCCATTCTTTTTTGCAGAGAATGGATGCCTGAACTCTTGCGAGATTATGGACCCCAAAACTTTCATTATCGCCGTGAAAAGTGTTTGTGGTGCCTGTCTCCTGCTCCCCCCAACTCCTTTCCATCGCCACTGGAACACTTTATGCCCAGACGGAGACCTGACGGAGACTGGAAGCTTTATCTGCGTGCAAATCGCTCTGTTTCCAAGTGCCCCATTTGCAAGCAGACAAAGCTTTCAGTCTCTGTCAGTTCTCCATCTAGGCTTCCAAACACTTTTCACCCAGAGGGAGACTGGAGGCTTCATCTGCTTGCAAATGGGGCATTTGGAAACAGAGCGAATCACTCCTTTTCCAAGTGCCCCATTTGCACACAGATGAAGCTTCCAGTCTCCATCAGGTCTCTGTCTGGACAAAAAGTGTTCCGGTGGTGGCGCAAAGGAGTTTGGGGGGTGAGGAGCAGGAGACAGGCATCGCAAACACTTTTCGTGCCCAGGAACTTCCACCAACTCTCCTCTCCCTCAGAGGCAAAGAAACAATGGCAGAGATTTTTGCAAGGTAAGTGAGTCAGGCACGGCAGGAAGGGAGAGGGAAGCATGAGGTATCTTAGTGGGTCGGAGAGGCCTTGGGGGCCTGTTTCATCACATGGCCTTCCCCAACCTGAGATACTTCATGTGCGCTTAACAAATTGCGCATTCAATTAGTGAATGCATGGGCGAAAGCAGGGAGTGATCTTGTTCAAGGTATGAGATTCACTCCTACAAATCTTTGAGTGATGAATGGAATGGGCAGGCTCCTGTACTCTGAACTTAGATTTTAGTACTTGAAAAGACAGACAACAGGAGCTAAGTCTAATTTTCAAAATGTTCCAGAACAATTTAAATGTCTAAGGAATAATGCAGATTATCCAATGCTTTTAAATACTAAAAATATTAAAATAAATGGAATCTGAAAGGGCTTTATCACGATTTTTCCAAATAAGACATCTTTTTTTCTTTGTTCAAGAACACAAGACTTGCAAAATATGAAGTCTTAATGCCAAAGAGATTGTGAAGTCAATAGTTTCTAGCCATCGCTGGTGTCTATTGAAGACTTAATAATATCATATTTTGCGTTCATATATAATAATTACATTTGAGACGATTATTACTGTTCTAAATCTTTCCCAGATCTAATTTGGTACATGTATATTCACATAATTCATATCAACTACATATTCTTCTATTCTTCAACTTAAAATAGATTTTCTCAACTTTTTAGTTTAATGCAATACACAAAATGTAATACATAGACATACTTGAACATAGTGCTTTCAAAATCCAAGGGCATAAAAACTATTAAATCATATTCACATCTGGTATTGAACAAAGGTCAACTTATGATCCTCAAATCACCTCTTAAAAAATCTGTCATAAGAAAATTTAATTTCCAGGCAGGGTCCTATTTTATCTGCCTCCTTCCCACTCACTTAAAC